ACGCAGCATGAGCTCACTGATACAGCATCTCGCTCAGCCTGTCCCTGGTGTACCCGACGTAGCAGAGGCACCACCTGACTCACCTGCAGGGCCACCACCTCCTGTGGGGCTGCTCTGCCGGGGGTCACCATGGAGCTTGTGTGATCCCAGGAGGGTGGCAGGAGCCGGTGGCCCAAGGGGGATTGGACCCTACAGAGCTCTGTGCCGCAGTGCTGGTGGTGATGGGCAATTCCAGTGCTTGCCATATGTTGCTCTGCCTGGTGTTGCGTCAACACCACAGACTGAAACACGCCTTGTGCTCTTGCTGCTGTCACTGCCTGATGTGCTTCTCATCCCCAGCTGGAATACCTTGGTAACCACGTGTTCTCTGTAACAGGTCCGGATTGAGGACGACATCGCAGTGACAGCCAGTGGAATGGAGCTGCTAACGTGCGTCCCACGTACTATTGAAGAAATAGAGGCTTTCATGGCAGAAGGCCAAAGCAGTGCCAAGTCATTTGACTGTCTCTCCAGCCAAAAGCAGTAAACTTTGGGATGATACTTACTGTCTCACACTAATCGATCATCATCCTGATTTAATGCTGCAGCATATAAAATAAAATGCATCCAATTCTTAATAGCAAGAGAGGCAGGCAGGCTATTAGCTGGAATGATTCATTCATTAAAAATGAAGGTAGAAGGCTTCGGCACTTGATATCCAGGTAACTCAAATGCTGCTGGTTGCAATCAGCAGTTTACATTACCAAGTGCCACCTGAATAACCCTGCTGCATTATCAGTGGGGCTTATACTTCTATCAAATCTAAGCTCAGATATATCTTGCAATTAAATCTGAATGTTTATGATGGGGACTCTTTAAAATACCAAATGGATTATCTGAATGCTGTCAGCAATTGTAACAATCTAAGTCCTTTTTTAAACTTCATCACAAGTACTGCGAAAAACATAGAAGAAAAATCAGCTGTTCTCAGTGGATGTAATGACACATATTTTTGTTACAGATCTTATTTCCATGTCAATGGAGTAAGCAGAATCAAATTTTTATTAAAATTCATCTTTGGCATCATTTATGCTCACAACTTTGTGATCATTATGCTCTTCTGCTCCCGTTCCCGCTTCTTTATCTGACCTTTCTACCAATTTGTGCTCTGGAAACTTTGACCCTTCATTAGCCAGATTTTTCTGCTCTGGGTAGTGGGTGCACTGATCCTTCACACGCAGCCCGATGCTTATTAGATTTGTCCACCTATTTTTTCCTTAAAAACATAGATTGCTGTGGTGTTCAAGAGCCTTGGAAATTGCAAGAAGGAAGTATCTTTGCTGCAGGGCTCAGGGTCATTCAGCAGCATATACTGTGCGGAATGATAGAGTTATTTTTAACTGTCCAGTGTTAGCCGGTTCAGAATGAAGTCATGTAAATTTTATTTGGATACACCACAAACATTAATAATGATTATAAAATGATTTTCCATTCATGTAAGATTTAAATTACCCAGAGAAGCCTTTCTTAACTGTAGGTGTTCATCAGCCTGCAGGAGAATAAATACGTTTCTTGCATCATAAAATAGCACTAGTTCCTGTAACTACATAAAAATAATCTTGCTCACTTTATGAACACATCAAAACTCCTGTTTGGTCTTCAGGCTCTGTTGCACAGTTTGACTGCAAAGCCACTTCAGAATATCCCTCTTCCATGCCAGGGGGAACTGAAGTCACAGCAGGGTATCAGGCCCTTTCTGGGTCTTACTGCTTGCCAGATGAGGATTTTCCCACTGTGAAGGGATCGGCTGACTTGATCATCTCAGTTCTGCTGCTCACATCCTGGAGCTGGCACGCAGGCAATGGGACCACCTGTGAGCTTCTGGGTGCCTGCAAGCACCTGTCTTACACGGGGTGTACAACACAACATGGGCTTGGACGGTGTCAAAAACTACTGTGTTGCTGTCTTTGTGCCCCCCACCTGGGACTGGATTTAGGTCTGAAATAATTTCCTTAAAAATTGTCAAGTGTGTTGCTCTTACGGAGAGCTTTTTTTAGCTATTTGGGTTGATCTGTGTGACGAGAACCTGCTCTTTATTCCTAACAGCTTGGTGGCCCATTGCTAAATAGGAAACTGCATGTTGGAGACTAAAGAAACACATTGTGAAATAATCCGGGGGACTTCACTCCTTATGTTTAATGTCACTTTATTAACAAATGAGCCTATTTATATTTTTTTAAAGGTTGCTCAGCGTTGGTTTCTAAGAGGTAAGTGCAGGACGTCTCGACTGCGAAGGGGAAGGGGCGAGGAGGGGAGGGTGTGAGATCAGCAGCTTGTATGTGCAACTGTGCTAATGCTTCTTTCTGTGGTGACTGCAAGTCTTGTACCTCTGAAATGTAGTGCTTGTGCTGAGGACATCAGGCTCTGCTTTGGTAGCTTTGCAGATACGAGAACACAGAAACTACACTGGCACTGCTTCAGACTCATCTCCTCCTAAAACTCAGGAGGTTTTTTCAGTGCAGGACGGTGCTCGTGGCCTCAGCCTTGTTCCCTCCACATCCAAGTGCTTTTCTGTGGCATGCTCTGAACACACCCATGGGATTGCTCACTGCTTTGGGCACTCCGAAACCTGCTGTTGCTTGGGTTCGATAGCAGTTACTATTTTAAAGTAACACTTCACAGATTTTCAAAAAAAGAGTTTTGGAATTGTTTCAACTAAGCTGTAACCCCAGTCTAGTTAATAGGCCTTTCCCTGCCTGTGATTAATCTTGGCAAATATTGGGCTCTGCTGCTGCAGAACAGGTCGAGCAATCTGGTGTGCTGCAGGAGGCAGAACTGGTTCTGCTTTGACATGTACCAGCGAACAAACCCTACCGCGAGTTCTGGAGGGAAACCACTCGCTCACGTAACCGGCTTCTCTGTCGTTTTGCTTGCCTGAGACATGGATGTGTTTTCATCTGGGATGGTGCACCATCTCCAATTTTCCTTCATAATGAGGACCATGAACTTGGTGAATATAAATTTCATCCTTCCTTCCAGAAGTCTGTTCTGTAATTATGATAATTTTTATCCACTTAAGCAAAAACTGAATTAGAACTTTTTTCTAAATTAGCGGGGGGGGGCAGGGAAGTAAGCCTTTAAAAAAGGGCAAAGTGATATTTAATACACTTAAAATGTATTAGTGGGGGGAAAATACAGGTTACAGCAAACTTTCTTTTTGACTACATTAGGATATTTTAGGCTGTTAGCTATCATGTTTTCCCAAATGCCTTTTCCTGTTGGTGCAAACAGACTCAAATAGCGTGGCACCAAAATAACAGAAAGAGTGTGTTATGCTGAGCAAGTTTATGTTAAGTTTAGAAAGGTCCGAGCACTTCTGAACTGATATATTTAAATTGCTTCAGCTCCCTGGGGTTGGATGCGCTCCGGATTTATCTGCCATACCAATTACGCTGCTGCAGCTACAGGGTATAGTTAAAGTGGTAGAGCCTCTTAGTGCTAGTGGAGGCAAGAGTAGACCCATTCCCTTAGTGGTACAGTGAGAAAATGGGAATAAGGTTTCCTGGTGAAATGTATAGTGCTGTAACGCTCCTTCTTGTAGTGACAGGTACTGTATTGTCACAAACTATAGCTGCTGTTGTTAAGAAAAATGTGTCAAAAGGAAAACCTTAACTTTCATAGACCTACACTGAAATTTTCTTGGGTAGATGTGCATTTATTCCAGCCTTTCTTTAGGAAGAAGAGAGAATCATCCAAGTCACCTAGGTATGGGTGTTCTCCTGTGCCTTGCAGTGGAGGGGTAAGATTGAGGCATTTTGCCGTCACGCAGCCTGGGCTGCTGCACCTTGGGGCAAAGAGAGGGAAAGCTTCACCTCTGCTTTTGCTCCTTGGGGGTCTGAGATGGCTATTTTGGCAGGAGGGGGCTTAGAATAATAGACTAATGCCTTTCTTGCAACCATACTCTCACTGAGGGTAGATTTAAAATAATAATGTTATAATCTTGGGTCCATGGCTTCACATATTAAAGTGATGTGCTGCACATAGCCTACACGCTTCCCTAGGCAAACAAAGCAAGTGCGGAGACTAAGCCAGAAATGTCATTGTGCAAACAAATGACTTTTCATAACTCAGTGGTTTTGTTTTAAACAAGAAGGAAGTGGAATTGGCACTGTCAGGAGTAACAGGTGGAGAAGTCACCCTCCAGAGCATCAGAAAGAGTATTACTCCCACTCAGAGAGATTTAAGAAATCATTTTCACCAAAATCAGAAACAAATACCAGAGATTTGGAGCCCCTTATCTGGTTATTAGGGGAGGACCCCACATCAGCCTGTCAAACCAACTGCAGGACAACAGGGCCACATAGTCCCAATTCACAGAGCAGACAACCAGGGAAGAGACTAGCTCCTGCCTTTTACACCAGAGTAGATGCACAGTTAACAAATGAGATGCTTTCAGGTCATCTTTCTCCTTGTAGTTTTTGGTGTTCTGTTCCTCCCCCTCCCCCTTTAATTGCAGTACATTTTCGGTCTTAAATTTCTTTTTTTTTTTTTTTTTCTGTTAAATCAGGAATTCAGCCAAAACTGTAATGTGTTTCTGATACTCTCCATTGAGTAAAAACCTGAGTGGAAGACAGGAATGGAGACTGTTGCACTGATTTCTCAAAGATAGCTGCTTGAGGTGGGCACCTCTGCATTTGAGGGAAATAGTAAAAGGACAGGAAAAATGAGGCCAGCACTAGAAGCAAAACGTTTTTATTAGCTTCTGATATTTCAACCCTACCTACTTAAGCTGCAGCTAGAACCAAAAAACATTCTTAATTTTTTTTTTTTTTTTTTTTTTCTGTTAAATCAGGAATTCAGCCAAAACTGTAATGTGTTTCTGATACTCTCCATTGAGTAAAAACCTGAGTGGAAGACAGGAATGGAGACTGTTGCACTGATTTCTCAAAGATAGCTGCTTGAGGTGGGCACCTCTGCATTTGAGGGAAATAGTAAAAGGACAGGAAAAATGAGGCCAGCACTAGAAGCAAAACGTTTTTATTAGCTTCTGATATTTCAACCCTACCTACTTAAGCTGCAGCTAGAACCAAAAAACATATCTTTGTAAAAAGACTACCATAATCCAAAACAATCCATAAAAGTTTTCCGCATGTATTAAAAGTTTAAATTCAAAAAGAACTTTTCAAGATTTCATTTTCTAACAGCATCTTCATAGAGATAATATCCGAGTTCTCTTCCTAAGTACAGATACAAGGCAAACAAGCATCCTACAAAATAATCTATGGAAAAAGGTAGTGTAGAAGGGCAATTAAGACTGTGTAATAATCCACTAGCCAGACACACAGGTTAAATGTAAAACAACCATACCATCAATGAAATATTTAAAAATGAAAATAAATTAAGGTTACATCAAAGTTCCTGCTTTACTTTTGTTTAAATCCTCAGTATAGTACATACCACTGCATTATGGATCATGGCAAAGACTTAGCACTAGCATGTAAAAAGTTGATATAGAAGAACTTTCATGAAAATAAAACAAGACCAAAGATACTCCTTCACGCAACTGTATGATGGCTATAGAAATTCAACTGAATCAGTTATTCAAACTAGGGCCATTTATTTTTAAAATCACTGTGAATTTCTGTAAGATCTTGGTTGCAAATCTGAACAGCCATGAAAATGGAGATGAATGTCAACAAGCAGTGATCCATACATTCTGGCTGAACAGATGCTGTCTTACCCCTTTCATTGCTTAGTCAAGCTGCACATTTTGTTCTCCCTGGTACCTGCACCCCAGCAAGAATGCAATTTTGCAGAGCACAGGTTTTTTGGTAGCATTTTGACATTTTCTGAAAACCAAAATCTTGTTCTCATAAGGCCCCAGTCACTAGGTGAGCAACGTGAACACAGGCTTAAAAGGCTTTGTCAATGATGTGCTGCTTTACCTCTTGTACATGATGCTTCAGACTCATTTGCTTTGTGGAAGCCAACTGCCTGTATATATCTTCGTAGTATATTGCTATTTTTCTGGAAAATATCAGTAAGCATCTCAGCTCACTATTACTACACCCTCCCCATTAACTATAACTGGACAGGAAATACCTAAGTGGTGCTTTATAGGACTTGCTCTACAGATTTAAAGTAGTCCACCAAACAGGAAAGCAAACAGCCTCCACGGCCTTTGCAGTTTTGTAGTATGTAATGGAGAAAACAAAGGGCTTAAATACACTAAAAGATATTTAAAAGACACTTTATCCAATTATGAGTTTCTGATACTACAGTGAACCATCCTGCTGGATTCCTCCCATTATGCAAACTATAAGAAGGTAAGTGAACATTTCTGTGAAAATGCTATTTCCCTAATACTAAGTTCCTTGTTGACTATGAATTTAGGTCTGCATTTATTAGATAAATCTTTTAGAGGAGAAAAATATTTAAAACAAATACCCTAAGCAGTTTCTGGTTTAATTGTATCAAATCTTCAGTGTTAAACCTAAAAAGAAAAATCTCCACAAAATGATGGTTAAAAGAACAGAGTTTTTGCCTGGTGACTGCATGGACGTTGCAGACAAGCTGCACCTTGAGAGTTCACTTCGTAAGGTTGCAACAGTGTCTACTGTCCATTGTTTTCTGGATTTGTGGTGGTGGTTTCAGTGCCAACAGGTTGCACATTGTCTGCAAGATTGTGCGCGTGCTCAAGGAACAAGTCTTTCAGTACGCTCAGCTCCTTAGTCAAGAGCTTAATTTTTGCCTCTAAACGTTCATTTTCTTCTTTGAGCTGGTTGACCCTTTGCAGCGTGTCTTGTGCTTTCTGCTTGCTTTTTAACCGGCTCTTTTTTACTGCCATGTTGTTTCGCTCTCTGCGCTGACGATACTCATCACTGTTTCTATCCACAAAGGAATTTTTCTTTCCCTGTTTGCTCGGAGGCACAGCTTTGCCTCCACCACCAGGACTAACGGGCACCAACTGGGGAACCTGCTGCAAACCACTGGTGTGTGCTTGGGTGTGAATCACACTTACTCCGTTCGCATCTGTAGCAGTGTTCTGTTGGGATGTCTTGCTCATTTGGACAGGCTCTTCTTGGACACAACAATTTATTAGGAGACTGAAAACTGTTATGTTTCTAGAAGGTGTTTCCAACAGGTCTTCACATGGATTAAGGGCAAGGTGAACCTAGTAGGAAAAAAAAATGCTATTAAAGGTGCTGGCTTCAGCTATAATCTCATACATCACTGGCTTTAGGATAAGGTACTGATGGTACATCTGGCAGTAACACATCACAACTGTGCTGGAAGTGGACAAGCTGCCAACTACATTTCAGAAGCCTCTCGAACGTATTTGGATTGGAAGGGACTGTTACTGGGTCATCTAGTCAAGCTGTTTGCATTGTTCACTGGCTTTACTCAGTTATTCCAAAGCCATCCCTGATGGATGGGTGTCTAGCCTAGCCTCGAATATCTCCAGTTTCACAACCTCTGTCTTGGCAACAGGTTCCACTGTCTAACTTTTCCTCCAGTTATATAATTTTCTTAATTTTCAGACTGGAGTTTTCCTTCTGCAGCTTAAACCTATTAACAGCCTGACTCTTGACCAACAGGAGTACTTGATCCTTGTCCTCTTCATACCATCCCTCTGGGTGTATGCACAGACAAATTCCTCCCTGGTCTCTTTTCTCTGGAGTGAGGGAGCTCAGACTGTCCACCTTTCCTCAATCATCTTACAGCACTTGCTTTTGAAGATGATGTCCAAATTGGTAGCTGTTTTAAGGTCTCACTAGCATTGAGTGGAAAAAAATAATCTATGGAAAAAGGTAGTGTGCTGCAAAGGTTGTGACTGAGTCACATTAAAGGAACCCCTTCAACCACAAGCAAGGTAAGACAAGCTAAGCCTGTAACGGTACTGTAACGAGCAGGTGGGACAGGAACGCAGGGGGATGGCAATGTGAGAATCACTACACAGCAAAGACAGGGGACTGTTGCCACCCATAGGAAGACAGTAGCCACAGCTGACTCGTCCACAAAATACATTCCCCTGTTGTAGCTCCTGCACCAGCCATTGTCCACTTTCCAGCAGACAAACAGGCCTGACGAGCAGGACACCCTCTCACCTGACTCATGTTCTCCCGCTGCCGAGGTCAGGCTGCTCCTGACCCTACTGGTGGCACAAGGAGGACTCCACCACAGCTGCTGCAGGGACACGGCCCTGGCAAGGCTAACAGCTGCTCCCCTTCTCTTCCCATCTCACAGGATGACCTCCTAAATGTCTGGGAGAGAAGTTTGGGAGAGAAGAGGGGAAGGGCAACAGGGTTGTTCTAAGTTCTTGAAATGCCTACCTATGGCTCCAATGAAAAGTACTCAGTAATCAGTCAAACGAGTGTTGATTTCTTGTTGTGTTAAAGAAAAATATCTAATTGGCATAAAACAATCCTACTCCAAGATCAGATTGCATTGCAACAGTGCAGCCCTATGCTCTCTCACACACATACATGCAGTATCATACGACTAGTGTTCAACATCCTCCTTGCCCATCCTCAAGAGGACCCGCTGGGAAAGCAAGCAGTTGAAGTTAGGGGTGGACAACGCTAACTGCCCAGTATCGGCAGTGTCCAACCCAGGGATTATGGCTTGCATCAGTAACAGCACAAGAGATGGATGACTGTACTCCTGTGTCAAGCTGATGAATGGATGTGGCGAGATGTTTGTAAACAAGCTGCTGTGTCACTGGTCATTCTAAACTCCTGGGTTCATCAGCTGTTTACTGTTCCTGTTTTGTTTGTTTTTCTCAGCAGTCTGAGTTGCTGTTTTACCTTCTGCTAGGGTATCATTAAAAAAGTTAAGATTCTACTGTCTAGATGAATTGCAAGTTTTCTTCCATAATGAGAGAGCCAGAACAAGATGCAGCTGCAGAGTGTGGTTCAGTAAAATTCACGGAAAAGCCTATTAAGTTTGGCTTGAATGTTATTCAAAATTAACATTCTCTGTCACCGAGAAGTCTTCTCACTTAAAACAAGTGAAGAAGATGTGTGAGTACACCCACACCCTTCCTATCAGGAAATCTTTTCATTTCCGTATTTCAGGGCAGAAAGAGACCATCAACTCTTTTTGACATCTGTATAGTTAAATATATATACATACATGCCTAACCTTTGTATTTAGTATTTTCCTGATTTTAACTCTTAAAGCAACTTTTGCAAACCACATTTAAGTCTTCGATTCTGACTGAATAAGCAATTTGGTTCAGCAGTTAAACTGAATATACAGCTAACAAGATGACACTGTGCACTAATACCAGACTAGCAGGGCCAGTTGTAGTAGCTGTGCATGTGTGATTGCACAGACATTTTTAGTCAAGATGCAAGCGTATGCTCCTCTTGGGGCATATACTGGCTTTGTCTCAGCTTTATTTTTTAAATACAGGATTTCTGTAGCCCTCAAAGAGTATATAGCTCTGTTAGATCACCTCTGACAACTGAATTTTCCACTAATTTTTGGCATCTTTTCAAAGTCAGACAGAATGCTCTCCTGTCCCCTCTATTTCAACACATTACAGTGCTTGCTAAGTTCATCTGGACAGCCCAGTTAAGTAACCCATACCATTTTCACGATCTGCTTTTTGTGCTTCATGAGATACTACAGAGGAAGGGGTGGCTCCTGCCCCCAAAGGCACCCCACCCAACGCATAACAAGTTTCTTCACATCACCAGGTTCCATGTGCTATTTCTCTCTATGCTATCGAAACTATTTAATATTGCTTTAACATTCCTTCAGATCTCTATCAAATTCCCCTGTAATTCAAAGGAAAAATTATTTGTTCCATTAAACCAAATTTTAATGGAATATTTTAGTCGGGCAGTACACGGATATGAGCAGAGAAGACGAACCAGTGTCACACCTCTCAAGCAAGCGTTCTAGCCCTGCTAGAACAGATATCCCTCAATTCCTTCCCACTGGAACTGATCCATTTCGTATCAAGTAACTATTTCTTGAGTGAGACGCTCTTATCTGGCCTGATGATCAGAACTCTTACCTGGGGGAGATGACACCTGGATTCCTGTCCTGCTCCAACTAATATTTACGCAAAGCAAGTGGCACTAACTGTACTGCATCACAGATAACCGAGGAGTGGTAACAGTTGAGGCTTGAAACTAATTTTTCCCCCTGGTTATTTGGAGGCTGCATCCCTATTACCAATTGTCAGTTCTTCAACAGAACAACGAGAGGGAAGGATATCCTGGATAGCGACAGGTGCTATGGGGCATCCTTCAGGGAATACTGCAAGGAGATTTAAAGGCAGCAGGTATGAGATGTACGGAGGGGGCTTTCAAGAAGGGTGAGGTAAAGGACACAGTAATTGGGAGAGGCCACGAGGGTGGGGAGGCAGATGGGTCTCAGAGTTCATTTCTCAGACACCGTGCCACACAACCGCAGCTGCTCCGCTCCTCTCTGCAAACAGGTTGGTTTGCTGTGAATGGGCAATAGCCCCGGCACAGCAGGAGGCAGCTGCTCAGAGAGCCAGCCAAGTTTCCGAGCATCTTGTTCCCATAAAGCTGCTCATTAGCTTGAGCTCAGCGACAGCCCTAGGCTGGTTCCACCCAGCACATGGTAGTGTTTCCAGTGGCCAGTTAGAACTGCCTTGTTCTCTCCTTGGGCCACCAACTGGCCACCCAGGACACCAACTGGCCACCCACTACAGCATAATAGCTGGTAACTCAGAGGTGTCTTCTCAGGCAGAGGGAGGTTTCTTACTGTCTAGCAGCACTCCTCAGGGACCACAGAGACTCCCAAGCAAATCAAGACCTTTATTATTTTTGCTTTCACACACAAAAAAAAAGTCAAAAAAATTAAACTTCAAAATGTTTGTTTTGGCAAAAAACAAAAGATGTGTTTTGATTTGTTAATGAAATCAGTATTTTTTTTACTTAACAGCAAAAAATACAAAGTGCTTCTCTCTGCTCCTTTTCTGAGATGTGACTGTGTTGATTCTGATCATTAGTCAGGATGACTTTATTGCAAAAATTCACTCAGCTGTCTTGTCTAATGCAAAATCAGTCCCAATCTGAACAGCAATACAAAGAACAACAGCATAAAACTCCAGCCATGTTTGCTGAACACTGGGAGAGCCCACTCCCGCATGGTTTTCTGCACACTCTGACAGGCAAGTTAGTAAGAGTTGATGGTAACTCCCACATACTGAAGGCTAGGCAACAACTTCTTTGAGACTAGGCAGCTCAAACGTATCATCTGTTGCCATAGCTGACAACATCACTTTCCCATATTTTTCTCAGAATCTCCATTTTTTCTATACACCTTACAAGAAAAATGCACTCCAACATCCTTTAAAAATGTGCTCAGAACATCTAAAGTATGTATTTTAATTGCAGGCTAGCAGCGTTGATGACAGAATCACAAACAATCCCAGCTGCCAGGAGGCAAGGAGGTATCAATTTGACTCTGTCTTTTGAATTATAATGAAGGTAGCTATTCTATTTCTAAAGATGAACTAATTCCTTAAATCTGAAAGTTTTTTTAAATTATGATTTTTTATACTTTCTAAGAGGCGTTTTAACCAGCATGGCACTACTACAGAGGGGAGTATTGAGTTGTCTTAACGTCTGCTATTTCCCAGCAGATGTCAGAGCTAAAACCAATATCAAGCTTTCTCTGATAAATCTGTTTTGAAAGTTGTGTCTGGAGCTACAAAAATTTGTTGGGAACCAGAAAGATTTGTCAAGACATTCAAAACTCCATTGAGAAGCTAGAAAAGAAGAATACCAGTTGTTAAAGCACGGCATTTTATCGTGGTTCGGGGCAGCTCCTGGGATCCCCGCAGCCTTGCGCGCTCCCGGGAGCGGTATGCACGGCACCGGCGGGCTAGAAGCCCTCTCCCTAGGCCAGGCCCATTCTTTAACGGCCGCTCTTGCGGCGCCGGAGGACGAGCGCTAACGACCGCCCGGCCCCGCTGTCAAAAGCACCCGGAGGCGCCTCGGCCCGGCCCCGTTCCTTTCCCCCAGCCGCGGGGCGGGGAGGCCCGGCGGGGCCGGAG